CTTTGACGGCGGTCCGGCCGCGGCGGGAGAGCGCCGTCTTTTCCTCAGCTGTGCTAGGCAGACTTCGAGTGATCAGGTTTCAGCGTGATCCTGGGCCGAGGCCCCCGGGGAGGCGGCGGTCTGTGGCGGCTGTCAGAGCGAGAACGAGGGCGGCCGCCCTGGCGTCGCTGAGAAGTCTGACTGTGCTGAGCTGGGCGCTGGGGTGTGGCTCGTGCAGGAGCCTGGTCACGTGAGCGGCCTGCAGAGGAGCTAGCGCGACGAGGCAGAAAAAGATTCATGGCCTGGGAGGCTTTCTGCACTTCGGAGAAAGGGTCAACGATACCCGTGACAGCAGATCCGAAGAGGCCGGATGGAGAGAGCGGGGCGTTGAGAAAGGCGGCGCGCTCAGAATCTCCCATGTCGGCGAGTGTGAGCCACAAATGTCTTTCAGACACACAAATGGCGGCCATGCATTTCCCCAGGGCTTGAGCAGCAGATTTTGTAGCGCGAAGGGCAATGTCCGTGGGGGGATTTTTTCCGCTCTCGTCCCACTCACGAAATGTAAATCGCCCTGTAGAATCTGAAGGACGGACATGGAGTGGAGTGCAGAGGCTGCTTGGCCGGCGGCTGAGTAAGCGCGGGCGTGGAAGCTCGAAGTCGCTCTGCAGGCTTTAGAAGGAAGCACAGGTGATGAGCGCCATCTCGTGGAGGGCGGGCATAAATGTGCGGCGACCAGGTCCTCTACAGGGGGAATGGAGAGATAGCCCTTTTCTGTGGCTCCGTCCACAACACGAAGCGGGGCGGAAGAGTCGGAGCGAGTTCTGGCAGAGAGCGGGGCGTTCCAGGACTTCGTGAGTTCCGCGTGCAGTTCAGGCAGGAAGGGCGGGGCCCGTTTAGTGACGGGAGTCGAGTGCTGGCGGAAGTAGCTGCCGTCCATACGGTTGATGGTCTGCTCGGGGGGAGGAGACCAATCGAGCCCTAGGCGTTCGACAGCCTGTGAGAGGAGGCGCACTAATTCCTCCTCGATTCCAGCGCGGGTCCTGGTGGATTCTCGGGCCGAGGAGGCGTGAGAACCGGACCATTCCTCACTGTCTGAAGCGAGAAGCGAACAGGTTTCCTTGATGTCCGCGGCGTCATCGGAGGCGACAGAGCGGCCACTCGGCGGCAACTGTATGTCCGGAAGCGGCGGAGAAGGAGAGCGGGAGACGACAGGCTCCGGCGGAATGAACGCTTCCAGCTGGGGTTCCGGCGGCCTCTGAGAGCGGCGTTTCTTCTTCGGCGGCGCGGAAGCAACTTTAGTGGCCTGAAGTCGAGCCCGCAGGGTCAACAACGGCATCTCCTCGCAGAGATCGCAGCCGCCATCGGCGAGGGCGAGCTCGGCGTGCTCCAATCCGAAGCAGAGAGCGCAGATGACGTGGCGGTCTCCAGTCTCGAGGGGAGCGCGGCAAGAACCGCAGGAGGATATACGAGACATCTTTACAAAGACGCTCGGCTCTTTTAGATACAATACACAATACAAGAAGCTTTTTGGTAAAAAGGATACAAATCCGTCGGATGGCGCTAGCTCGCAGGACGGCTGAAGGTGGCGAAGACGGCCGGCTTCCTCAGTCTCCCAGATGCTCGCTAGAGTTGCCTTTTCGACGACGGCGGCTTCTCTCAGGATCAGCAGATGCGTGTAGCCTCGCTGAAGAGATGAAAATCAGAGTTTGCAGCCTGAGAGGCGAATTTATACTCTCTGACCACGCCCGTTTCGGCGGGCTCTGACGCAATGAGAGCAGGTCAGACTCTCATTGGCCGAGAGTTCATTCGCGTCTTCTCATAGGCTTAAGCAGTTCTCTGTGAGCGAACCAATGAGCTGCTAGCTAGCCCGCTCATGGTCTGCTGCAGCTGAACTGCGTTGACAATGGATACAAAATTATAGGATAATTTTTTGGCTTCAATTTCTCAGAAAAGATGAATCTTTCCCGCAGCGTAAGCTAGCTTACGCAATACGAGAGAACCTCTCGTAAGAGAACTGGACGTTTCCAACGTTTATAAAACATTCAGAAATAATGTTTTAATAACATTTTCAAACTGAGTGAATGGAATGTTCCTTTAACGTTCACAATTAACCAAGAAAAAACGTTCTTGATACATAAAAAAAAACTGGACGTTTTCAATGTTTAAAAAACATTCCGAAATAACGTTTTCCTAACCTAATGGGAATGTTAGCAAAACGTTCTGACAACTTATTTTTGTTAGCTGGGATAATAGACAGACCCGGGCAGACAGTGCAAGAATGCAAAGCTACAGAGCTAACTTGATAACTTTCTAACTCTTGAAAGAATGAAATGTTTATGCAATGGGATTTATATGGTAGTGTGACCAAAAGTCCTGTTTTCCCAGGACATGTCCTGTTTTCACGTCCTGTCCTGGCTGTTAAAGTAATGAAAATGTCCTGGTTTTCAAAAAACTGCTGAAAGATCAGCTCTACAGCAAAATATAGATGGACAAACAAGGAGGATGAGAAAGAAAAACAGGATAAAGAGGAAGAAAACTAAAGATATAAATATATTTTGTTAGTTCGTTTTTGTAAGTTTGTGAGAGCTATTTTTGTTCAATTTGGAGGTATTTCTTTTAGTTATTTATTATTTATATATTTATTTTTCTAATACAGAAGAGACATTATTTCTATCATTATTTTTGAAACCTGTCATAATAAAACATGTTGAGTAACCTCTGAGAAGCCTATCTGAATTTGTGTTTTGTAATATAACAATTTTCTATCCATACAGAGGAGGCATAGCCTACTTTAAATGTATTAAAATTAATAAGGCATCTTGAGTAAACTTCGAGTATCATTTGAGTATGTTTGCCGGGCCGAGTGTCCTGGTTCTCGGTAATCAAAATATGGTCACCCTAGATATGGTAGCCTATATGATTTAAAGAATACAATTGTGATATAGGCCTACTATTTAAATACTACTGATATTTGGATCACGTATACTATTAGTTTAAGAATACTTAGTTACTAGTAACTAAAATAGATCGTTTTACAGTAATAGAGATTTTAATAATAAATGTAAAAACGGCTTGCCTTGAACGTCCACTAGATGACAGTGTCGTACAGGAACACAGTTTTCGAGCGTGTAAAACTATTGTGTTCCAGTAGAGGGCGCTCTAACACACTGGAATTTTCCATGTTCTGCCTGTTCGTGCCAAACGCATGACACAGCACATTCTAGCGCCCAGCCCGATCTGACAGTAATGCAATATCATTAAAAAAACATCACTTCATGCTGATTACAAAAGTCTAAAAAACACTCATATTCAACCCTTAGATAAAGCTAAAAACAGATAAAGATGCTTTAGCTATACCTAGGTTATACATGCAAAGTAACTTGCTATAGTAGAAGTAAAGTGAGGAAATTTGGAAGAAAGAGAGACAAATAAACAGAAACAAGTATGCTGAAAGATTTTAGTTTTATTATTTTTGAGATAACTGACTGAAACCATCTTAAAGCAGATTAAGCTTGTTTGCTGGTCTTTGATGGTTTAAACTGTTTCCCAGTTAGGCCCAGCTGGTGTTAATGCAGTTTAGCTGGTTAGCAAGCTAATCTCCCTGCTAAAACAGCCAACAGACCAGACCAACCAGGCTTGGAGATCATTTAAGATCAGAAAAGCATCTGGTTAAGAATGTGTACTAAACAACATGTTAAGGTTGAAGACCAAATTCTTGAAGGTCACACTCAGGGATCTGTTCAAAAATACATTAAGTAGCCTAGACGCAAGTATTTTTTTAGGATTTCAAAAATTTGTATAACTTATCTAACCTGGGACATTTACTGTTTTAATATACAGCTAGTTATAAATACTACACCTTAAAAAGACTTGGTAGGTACACAAATTCAGGTTTGACCATGTGGGAAGATATACATTTACAAAAATATTTTATTAAAAATAGATGTCAGCGCTCTGTACAGTGTTAAAGAAAGGCAGGGCATACAATCTGTTATATTAACATCAATCTGAAGAGTCTAATTAAGAGGTTAATTGAAAACATAAGCTATTTAAATATCAAACCAAATACATTTTCTGACCAGACTACATAAAATAGAACAGCATCAAAACACAGAAACATGATTGGCTGTAAGTAAAGATGAAGTCATGATGACTATAGCAGTCTGATAAACAGAAGACACACACACACACACACACACACACACACACACACACACACAGGCATCCTAACAGCTGAAATATGAGTTAGTGCCACCTGTCTGACTTAGAGAACCTGCACTTTTATTACTCATAAATAGCTCTTTACTTCCATACTTCACTTCTAATATTTTAATAAACAATGAAAAAGAAATCCACTACTGAGATAATATACAACATTACATCAAAAGCAATATTTGTGACATTCACCTACATGTAAGTAACATTCACAATTCATAATGTTACACCATTTTCCTTCCTTCACCATGCAAAATGTACTGTTCCTCACATTTTATGAATTGGAGCATATATAAAAAAAATGAATATTTTCAAACGGGTAGCTCCGCCTCAAACTCACTCCATTGGTTGATCCAAAGTTGCTATTTTGGGATGCTCAAACAAACAGAGCAATCAACCAACAAATGGATCAAACCAAACCTACTAAATTATAGTTTTTCTGCATATTAACAACAACTTTATATTACAGACATGAGGCAATTGACAGAGGTGTGCTTGTGCTTATATTTTTCTCATTTGTACACTTTTTGAATAAAAGTGTGGTGAATGAATAAAAGTAACTCTGTGTGATATAATATAAATAAAGGGAGTTAAGAGCAGTCTAAAAGAGATAGTTAGCCCCAAAATGAAAATTCTGTCATCATTTAACATACCTAACCCTCATGTCATTCCAAACCTGTACGACTTTCTTTTGCGGAAAACAAGAGAATATTTTGAAGAACAACGGGGTCCAAAACACTGGACACCACTGACTTTGACTGCATGGTCAAAAAAACAACAGCAATAAGACATAAAAAAAAAGAAAGAAAATGTCATCTTTTGTGTTCCACAGAAGAAAAATAGTGCACACAAAATTGAAATATTAGGGTGAACTATCCCTTTAAGCACTTTATGTCATTATGTAATCATCAACATTATGTCACGTTTCTTGGTGAAGTTATGGGTCACTGTTACATTCAGCCATGAGCTCATGACTGCTAATAAACAACTTAAAACAGTTCAATCCATCTAACACACATAATTTCACCGATATAAAAACTACTATGTGGAAACTTGTGTTTCACACTGCACACATAAACAGCATGACCTGAATCTGGAATCTATACAGAAAATATAGTGATTTCTGGGGTACTACATTACTTATTTATTTATTTATTAATAAACCATATTATAAAATAAATATTGAAATGTACAAATGTGATTGAAATCTAATTTACATGAGGAAAAGGACCCAATATACATTCAATAAACTGCTTAAATCACCTGGATTCAATCAGACTTACTGAAGAGAAACTCACTACAAATGTGACCTGCATCAAACAATTAATAAGTATATCACTCCATTATTTTACGTTGCTTCAAATAGGCTTACAGCGTATTTTCTCCATATTTATGTGCCAAAACTGTTAACATGCTGCCTACGTGAGCAGTGTGCAACCAGTTAACATCTACTCAATGATCTTTGCTTTCAACTTAAAGTAAAGCACATACATTTCTCCACACATATCAATGAAGAGTTCCAGTTTTTTCGAAACACAGAGAACAGGAATAATATATGCCAATCTTAAAATGTGTGTCTGTGTGTGTGTGTGTGAGAGAGAGAGGATAAACTGCAGACAGCAGTAGACCTCAGCATCCTCAAAGCAACGTTAGCAACTTCTTATAAAAACATTTGGCTAAACAAACGAGCGAAAACGATCAAATCCAGGCGGTGCGACAGAAGAGGAGAAGAGACAGGTAGTTTGTGTATCACACAGTCCTTGCGCAGTGTTTGTGAGGGCTATTCTGGCTTGTGGCAATAGATGTCTTTGAGAGCTTTGAGCTCCTCTATGAGAGTCTTGTTCTGGTTTTCCAGCACAGCGACGCGATTCTCCAAACACTTGACATATTCTTTCTTCTTTCGGCGACACTCGCGCGCCGCCTCCCTACAACACGCAAATAAAAGGTCAAACACGAGCAAGCTTAAAGAGATAGTTAAGCCCCCAAAAACAAAAAGTGCACGAGTTTCGCACATGCACACATTGAGACTCAGGTGTGTGGGTACCTGTTCTTCATCAGGCGGACTTCCCTCTTGCGTGTGGCCTCCTCTGCATTTGGCTGTGGGCTGTGCATGGCGCCCGGCGACGCTGCCATGACGACACCTGGTGGTAACCCGGACGACGGGGAGCGGATCTGATACGCTGGCATGTCTCCTGTGGCAGCTACATGCACAAATACACCAAAATGCATTATATATTTTGACAGATGAAAGGGTAACATTTTAAAGTTTGGTTGTATTTATTTACAATGAAATTGGTTACACAATAGTTGACAACATGAACTAGCAATGAACAATACATTTACATCATATTATTCATCGTTAATGTTCATTTACATACATGTTAACATTAATGCATTAGAAACTAAAATGTACAATATATTTAGAAATTAAACTGATTTTGACAAAAAAACTAAAAAGTGATGTAAAAATTATTGTTCATGGTTAGTTTATGTTAGCATTTACAACTATATTGTAAAATTTACCAATAATTGATGGTCAGTGATGCAACATACAATATTTTTATGGTTTATTTTGTATCTGAAAACCCATGAATGAAAAATGTAGATCAGTGGTGATATACTGTATATGCTTAGGCTAAGACGTAAAATATATATATAAAAAAGTGTATAATTCTGTATTATTGATAATAACAATATTTTTATTTATTAATTGTATTATTATTATTTCAAAACATATGGAAGCAAAGAGCTGAGTAAATCGTGAAAATATAATAATAATCATCATTATTTGTGCAATTCTGGTTATGGTTTCATCTGCAAAAGGTTTCAAACTCATAAATGAAAAATGTAGATCAGAGGTGATATATGGACTTGAGCTAAAACACCAAATAAATAATAAATAAATAATTAAGAGCATAATTCCATGTTAAATTATAAGTGAATGAAGTAGTTTAATTTATTGTATAATTAAGTGTATAGGTCTATATAATTCATTATTATTGACAATAATTATACTCAACAACACCAACAATTACTATTATTAATGTTATTTATTATTATTATTATTTCCAAACATATGGAAACAAACAGAAATCACAATTGTTGTTATCTTGAGAAAACAGTATGCAATAATAATAATCATCATTATTTTTGCAATTCTACTTCTGGTTTAATCGGAAAAAGGTTTTATCTGTGTCTAATAAAAAAAAAAAAAAGTGTAAAACTTTTTTATATAAATACTTTTTTTATTTTTTATAATTATTAATAATTTATCATTATTATTACTATTAATTTCCAAATATATGGAAGCAAACAGAGCCCATAAAGTAAGTTGTTATCTTGAGAAAATAGAATATAATAATAAGCATTATTTTTGCAATTCTTTTTTGACACTTAGTGAAAATTAGCCGACTAATAAAGAGGCACATAAAACTGGATCTAACCAATCAGCTTTGACTTCTATTGTAACCAGGCTTAAAAGAGCAGGTCTAATTGGACTCATTAGTTTATGTAATAAATCCAAAACAATACCAACGAACAAGCAGTTATATAAAAACTTTCACATCCACCCACACAAACAACATTAAAAGTACCTGAAGTAACATTCAAAACCCCAAATCTAAGTATAAGGTCACTGGTGAAGTACAGACAGTTTTAATGCAGCTATCAGTCAATGTTCCCAGCAGTAAACGTCCTTCAACAAACTGGATATGCCTTGACTTAGTGTGTGTGTGTGTGTGTGTGTGTGTGTGTGCGTTTGTTATCAGACAATGTGACAAAATGCTGATGTCACTGTGTGCGTCGTTGCACAAACCCCCGCCCCATTCCCTCCCTCTCTCTCCCTCCGTCTCGGCTTCGGCAGGCTTCCAGGAAACAGACTGACGTCAAACAGAAAGCTCCTCCCTTCCTCCCCCCTCATTCTCTCTCTGCTTTTGTCTGCCTCTCTCTTTCTCTCAATGATTCATGTGTGTGAATAGACCGGCAGATTTGCAGCCTGATTTCGTAAAACAGGAGCATGTCAATGAGTGTTTACGACTGAGAAGAAAGTTCCAACCACATAAAAGGAAACATGCAAAAGAGCCTGAAAACAAGTGTCAATCTCCCACTGTCTGATGTCCCACTTTCTCAAAGTGTTTACAAACTTTCGCACATGATATAACTTCTGTTTATTTTTATCAGTGTTGTAGGATTGTAATATTCCCTATATTAAATGTTGTTATTATTATTAATAATAATAATCTAATATTATATTCACTACATTAATTACTTTTGAGATTGTTGACATTTTCTGCAGTGACTACTCCATATATAAAATGTAAACAGCATTTCATAATTATTATTGTTTAGTTTTATATGTTTATAATAATTACGATATTTATAAATATAATCAATATTATTATTATATACTTATATTAATGGACTACATGGAATTTATAGAAACACCACATTATTTATTACACCACATTATTTAAATATGCTAGTAAAAGGCAAAAAAAGTTAAGAAGCAACTACAAATCAACTGAATTAAAGTTTAACTACCGATATTCACTCAAAAAACAGTACAAAGCAATGTCTATTTCATCATGCAACTAGCTTATTTACCAAATGACAAAATACAGAACTTCATAAATGCATACAGCATATATACATTAGCATCACTGACTTTTCCCTCATTAAACACACACACACACACACACACACACACATCTCTCTCTCTCTCTCTCTCACCTGACTCGGTCTCTTCCCCGGTCACTGCCATCTCTATGCTGTAGTAATCCAGTTGTGATTGTCTTTTGCGCACTATCTTCTGTATTTCCTCTTAAAGCTCTCTCTTCCTTTCAGCTGGTTCACTGAGTGAGTTTCTCTCTCATAGACTCTTTCTGACTGTCTTAGTTTGAGTTGTGACACTTAATGTTTTGCCATTAACCCTCCCTCTCTCTCTCTCTCTCTCTCTCTCTCTCCCTACGTCCTTCTCTGTCTCTCTCTCAGTCAGATTACAGGTTACTATTAAGGGCATTGACATCACTATGACATCACGGCAGTCTCACAGGGAAATAACACACTCTCTCTTGAGAATGCCCTCCCCGCACTCATGGTGTGTGTGAGAGAGAGAGAGAGAGAGAGAGATTGAGAGAAAGAAGACACTAGGTTTGTGATTAAACTTCTATGCTTAAATTCATGGCCCGAGGAACATTAAAACTGATTTCTAACAAGACTGCAACTGCATGGAATTGAAATGTTTTCAGTTCATGGTAAAAGAGAAGGGAAGAAGACAAGAGAAGGAGGGATACGTTATTGAGTATGTATTTTTAGAACATGATGACGCAAAAGCATTGCAGCTCAAACAAAAGGATACTGTGCCCATTTCACCTCATAACACTACACAGGCATCTGAAATGGTCATCTACACACACACACACACATAGAGACTCTCACGTCAGTCGTCATATTACTCTGTTTACATAGATGAATATCTTCAAGTATATCTCTAAAGGCCTGTTTCAATAGGTCAGAAATCATTTGAAACAATGCAGTAGTTTAAATGTTCCAACTCTTTGTAAATATTACAATTTTACCAGGAGCAAAGTATAAAACATTTATTCTTAGTTACTTTTATTCAACTAACAAATACAAAAAAAAAAACATTAAACTAGTCACTTTGAGGGAAAAAATGTTAGATGAACACTTCATTCACAACATTCCATTTTCTCGACATTCACTGGAAAAAGAATTGTCTTTCTCAGTATTTTTATTGTTTGCAGTAAAATGATTTTAACCCTTAAAATAAATAAAACTTGTTTTAGGAGAATATATAGAGTAGGCCTATATATATTATATTTGGATTTTGGATTTATGCTTAAAAAAACAATAAAAAAACTATTAGCAATTAGGGTAAGATAAACTTAAAATAAGTATTTTAAATATTCTCTGAAAACCAATTTTAATATCTCAAGGATGTTTTGATATTTTACTGTTTAAGAAAATTATTTTCACAAAAAAATGTAACTAGTTTTTTTTCTCACTTGCACAAACCTGACTGCAAATCTAACTAGATTCCCACAATGCAACATGTTTTGAATGTCCTTCCACAATCAGGGCCTGCTATCAGCTAACAGCTCATATATTTTCATATGTTTCCACTTTGCTGAAATTACAACAATTATACAGGGGCGCAAGAAGTGGGGGTGCTGCACCACCCCCTGTTTTCACAGGATTGTAAATGCAACGCAAATTATTGTTCATTTACATTTATACATTTTTAGCACTTAGTTATTTATTTGTAATAAACACTTTAAGTGGGCAATTAGAAAAGTGTTATGTGTTAAATTATGTTTTTTAAAACATACGTCATATTGTGACCGTTACAGTGTGCGTAGAAAGAATTCGTCGAGTGCAAGTCCACCGTCAGTGTTGTGTACGGTAGGCCCTAGGCAGGTTTTTTGTGTTCATTTCTATTTCCTGTCGCTGGGCAGGCACTTTTATTGTACATGACGGTTTAAACAGCTCCCTAACCCTTTTATTTAAAGGCTTAATGTGTGTCCCGTAGACCATTCCGTTGCATAACGATTGATTAAAGCTGTATCAATAATATCCGAAATTGTATGTGCAGTCAAATGTTCAGGACGGGCGTGTGTATGCTGTTTAAATGAGTGTACTAACCAATACGCTTGTTGTGTTTTGCGTAGTTTTGACGAGTTTAGACTTGATATTGTTTCTTATTCAAAAGTGGTGACCGCCCGACACACACACACACACAAAAACCCACAGCACCCCCAAACTTAAACATCTTCCTGCGCCCCTGCAATTATGACATTTTGTAAAAGATATTTAACCTCTTTCTGTCTGACAGACGTCAGAAGAGAAGTGATGTGGTTCAGATTAAAGCATTTAAAGATGTTCATAAAGGTTCCAGTGTCCTACCCTGAACGAGCACCTGTCCAGCACTTAGCAGTAGCTGTTGGCCAGGGTCTCCAGGCTGGGGGCCGTACTGCAGGATAGTGGCCCCGGGCTGGGGTGTGGCGGGGCTGGGAAGAGTCAGAGCCTGAACCCCTTGCAAGGCCTCTCCTCCAGGGCCGGTCAGCTGTATCGCTCCACCCTGAGTGAATGCTACTGCACAGGCACAAAACAAAAAACTGTTTATCTTCAATTTCCCAAACACTTGCTATAACAAATCCCAAGTGGTTAACACTTTACTTGAAGGGGTGTGCATAAGACTGACATGACACTTTCATAATCATGACATGACACATGTCATGAATATGAAGGAGGTTTTATGCATGTTTATGACAACTGTCATTAAGTGTCATGCGCTCAATTATGACATTTTAATGCAAATATGACATTGTTTGAGATGTCTTTGTTATGACAACTTGACATAAACCAATACATCATAACCTGTCAGTGTCTTGGTGACACTGACAGCTAACGTCAAAATCAACCACCTGACAGTTTAATGTAATGTTAACCCATAAAGCTAAGTGGTTTCTTAAGTTTGATAATTAATCTGCAATGTCATATTTATGACAGGTTGTGTTGTATTAGCAATGTCAAGTTGTCATGACAAAGACACTGACAGGTTATGATGTATTGGTTTATGTCAAGTTCTCATAACAAAGACATCTCAAACAATGTCATATTTGCATTAAAAATGTCATACTTGAGCGCATGACACTTAATGACAGTTGTCATAAACATGCATAAAACCTCCTTCATATTCATGACATGTGTCATGTCATGATTATGAAGGTGTCATGTCAGTCTTATGCACACACCCCTTCAAGTAAAGTGTTACCGATAAGAGTAGGTTTCATAAATTTGGCCAACATTTGTGCAATATCTAATGTGTTGCTGTTTAGTAAGAAAGGGCTGATGAACAACAAAACCCTTTAATTTGAAGGGTAATAACTTAAATTCGCACGTCATGCCGCACAATGAGATAATTATTTGAGCAATGAACTCAGACGTACTGTATTGCCCTGAGCTGGTCTGGTAGACTGAAGATGGTGCCGTCACCGTAGCAACACTAGAGGTGGGCGGGGCTTCTTCCTCAACTCTCTCCTCTTCCTCGATCTTTGGCACAGCAGGTACATCTGATGACAACTCATTAAGAATTTTCCTGAAAATACATTTTTAAATTAAAACATCTTTATCTGACAATGTAGATATCAGTATCTATCACGAAATGTCAATACATTCAGACAAGAACTATCATGTGTGCGGGTTTCTGGGTATTATTGGGTTTGGAGTATTTTGTTGTTGAATCCAGGGATGAAATGAATGATGTCAAGTTTTGAGATATCTGATTGGCCACCAGTGTGTTTTCTGAACTTATACAATTTTCGGTAATTAAAATAAAGCTGAAAAAATATATTATAAATATTAGATGAAACACTTTGACCTAACAAAAAATTAAAATTAAAATGAGAAATGTTGCCTTTTTGTAACTAACTGAAATTCAATCATGACAATTCTTGGAATAGTAATAGTTTTAGCATGTTATTGAATATGTTAATGTAATAAAAATTAATTAATTTAAAATATATTTTTTAAATGAATAAAAATGACACAAGCACATTAAAATTACTAAAACTTAAACTAAAATGAAAACTGAAAATATAAAAGTAAAAGATAATTCAAAATATTAATATTATTAATACTATAATAGTTTATGAATAATGTTAAAATAACACTGTATCGTTCAAGAATGGATCTCACCTATAAGACGGGCGTCTGGACAGAATCTCCCTCCTCTTCTGAGAATCTGATGGTGTTGTACCCGGACCGGCAGTATCAGAAGCTACCTAAAAACATTCAAACACACATATGTACTCGCCTTAATGCCAAATTAGCCTTTAAAAGAATCACATGTGGAGGGGAAATTTTCAGTGAATAACTAGTTATATGTCTGGGTGTTCCTAACACAAATCTTTAGTATTAGCTCAGCAGTCATACAGACTATAATGCTTTATTGTCATTTTAAGGCATCATTGAATGAAAAAAAGAGGATATTCTTTCAAAATCCATCTTTAGTGCTTGATGAAATATGTATTTTACATATGTGTTTGTCACTATAGATAACAATTGTGCCAAGTGACCATGAGTCTTCTATCTTCTCCTGAGCAGATTTGTTTTGTCTGACGTGAGCTTTGTGTGTGTGTGTGTGTGTGTGTGTGTGTGTGTGTGTGTGTGTGTGTGTGTGTGTGTGTGTGTGTGTGTGTGTCCAAGAAGATCAGTTGCATTGACTCTCACACAAATCTCATTACTGCTATACAGCTACTCTCACTCTTCTTGTTACTATGTCAATCTGTTTCTCCTTCATCCCATTGATCGCAGGATGAGTAAACGTGCTCTGTGATTGGCTACAGCTCTAACTGCCCGCAATGTGATTGGTCAGTCTCTCCAGGTGAAGGAACCGGTAAATGAATAACAGGATTGTGCTTGAATTGAGCTCACAGAACAGCACACATTATGGTTTAATAAGTGTGGACTGTATAGATGGTAACTTTTCCTAAGACTTATATTTACACCAGCCCTGTTCAAATGACATTACATACATAAAAAACCTGTATGTGTGTACCTGCACAGTTTGTATCTGAGGTGACTGTATAACAGAGGGCTGTGTTGTCTGAATGACTCCCTGCACATGTAGTGTCTGTCCATTAGGTAATGACACCACAGCTACACCCTCGTTCACCTGAGAGAGACAGACAGAGAGGGTAAGACATGTCTGAGGCTGTTTAACCCAGTGTAACTTGTTATTGTTCAATTCTGTCATCATTTACTCACCCTCAAGTTGTTCCAAACCTGTTTGAGTTTCTTTCTTCTGTTGAACACAAAAGACGGTAGCCATTGACTTCCATAGTATTTTTTGGTCACACTTTAGATTAGGGTTCAATTCTCACTATTAACAAACTATGACTTTTGCCTCACTAAACTCCTAATGACTGCTAATAATGGTTAGTAAGGTAGTTAAATTAAGTTTAGGTATTGGGATTAAGGGATGTAGAATAAGGTCATGCAGAATAAGGCATTAATATATGCTTTATAAGTACTAATAAACAGCCAATATCTTAGTAATATGCATGCTAATAAGCAACTAGTTAACAGGGAGAATTGGACCCTAAACTAAAGTGTTACCTATTTTTTTCCTACTATGGAAGTCAATGACTACCTTCAACTGTTTGATTCTTTAAAATATCTTCTTTTGTGTTCAACAGAAGAAAGAAACTCGTACAGGTTTGGAACTACTTTAGGGTGAGTAAATGATGACAGTATTGTCAACTTTGGGGGAACTATCCCTTAACTAAAACTAAAAATACTTTTCACAATTAATTGAAATAAAACTGAAATTAAATAAAAATATAAATATTTGATGAAAATTCTACGAAAACTATCAACTACCTTAAATACAATAAGCAACTGACTAAAATTAAATGGTTTAATTAGAAATACTAAAATTGCAAAAAATAAAGCTAAATAAAAACATAAAAAGTGTGCTTAATGTGCAAAAACACATAACAAAAAATCTAAACCTCAAACTAGAATTAAAACAAACAATATAAAAGCAAATATTAATACTTTAATAGTGTATAAATAATACTAAAATAACATCTTTTAATACAATAAAGTCACATTTTGCACAAATATCTTTTTCTGTTTACATTTAATCTGTAAATATTGCTGTCTATCAACACACATCAAGTCCCAGGATATTACCATGTTTTTTATGGTAATACCATGTTATGAATATGATAGTCGTCAAACCATCTTTTTGCTATGGTTAGGAATGTGTATTACAGTGTCTGTAAATAAGATTTTGAAACATTTTTCAAAATGGTGAGGAGAGACTCCTGATATGATTATAAAGCGCTTTGGGTGTACAATAGTACATAATAAAATGCTATATAAATGCTTCATTCATTCACTTTCACTAGTTTATTCAAACATTAATGTATTTGTGTTCAGTTTGGCTCGATCTTTATACAAAATGAAACAGGCGTCATATCTGTACCTGTGTGAGTGAGTCAGAATCTGACTGTATCTCACTTGTTATTTTCTCAGTTGCACTGGCTTCCTGTTGCGCTATGGTTGCAGTTTCCATGGCGATCGGCCTAGCAACAGAGCAGAGAGGAAATGCACAGTCAGCGCTCTGTAGAAGAGTCATACGTCACAAGATTTTAAACAGCCCAAGTTGCATTTGATGCAATAATCCATCATTTCAGCCAAAGGTTTGGCAATCCAGTGGGGGGTCTTAGATACAGTACCTGCATCAGGGTGAAACATACCTTTCCATAATCTTGTGAGAAATGAAAAATGCATGAAAAAAAAAAAGTTGAGACGGCTAAAGCTGCAATAATATCTACCAATTGGGTTTGATTAGGTCAGAGAGATTTCAAAATCTAAAGCACTTGAAGGTAAAACAAATTTATTTCCAATCAATACTGCAAGAGTTACATTGCTGCAGGTAAACATAAAAAAGCATTCTAAATAATGTAAAAAAAAAAATGAAAATGTAAAAAATGTATTATGTAATTTAATAGTAGTTTTTTGTGGGGTAATTAAAAATTTCACGTCACGCACACATCAGAAACAGAGCGCGCTCTAACGGCCGCATGCACTTCCTTGTTTTCTCTGCTTCTTGACCAGTGCACAAACTTTTAAACTATTCTAAGCAGACTCGTACAATTTATGAGGAAATATATTTGACTCGATTGCTGTAGTAGTTTATTGAGATTGTTCCTTCCAATGTTGATTTATGGCTGTTGTATTATGTCAGCGTTCTCTTAACTTCTGTTTCTTCTGACAGAAACAAACGCGCGCAAACTTTGAACAGCTCGCGCTTATGTAACAGCAAACGGTGGCACGAGGATATGACATAGCCTACATTTGAAACATTAATGGGCTCACAAATGAATACAGCGGTAAAGGAACTTTTTAAGTTATTTAGGCAAGCTGTGTAGGCTACTGTATATACTGGCACATTCCTGGATCAAGCTGCGTCATTCTCCACAGCCTCATTTAATTTTTAATATCGCCAACCCTGAATTTATTTGCTTTCGTAGGCTACTTATAATATGTTTCAGCTTAACTCGGACGAATAGTCTAAAACATTCAGAATATGAAACCTGCGCGTTGTTCGCAGTTTTATTTTATTTTCTACAGTAGTTTAGCTCTCTTTAAACTTGGAACAGCTTCGCCTCGCGCACATATTAGATTTGAGAAACTAATTTAACAGCAGCTACATGTCATGTTCGTCTTGCTGCGCTCATCTCCTCTTCTCTCCAGTGGCGGCAGATCGACATGCCAGCAATAACTTACCCGAGTTTTACGTAGAAACTCGTCACTCGTTACGGGTGAAGAGGAAGCCCGACTCGCTGCACACGTAGAGCCCACGTCAGCCCTGATGATGCGCCTGGGAAATGTGAACTATGCAGCCGGAGGCCCCGACAACACACACACACAAACACATGCTGGGCGGAGCCTAGGCGCTAAAAGGCCGCTGTCACTCACCAAATGCCAATATTTGCTAATATTAATTTATTTCCATAATGAAGTAGGCCTAATGTATTTGAGAGTTACATTTTATAATAAAATGAATCGAATTTAATAACGAGAAGTCATCCAGACTGATCAGACTTAGCCTACCTAAAGATAAACAAACAACTTTATAATCTAAAAATAAAAAAATACAAATATAAAATGTATTATATTTCAGTTATTAAAAATAATCTTAAATATTTGTACATAAAATATAAATTACAGTAAGAAGTTTGATGAAGTAGCGCCATCTTGCGCTAGAAGAACGACGTCATTTCTCGGTTCTTCAGTTCTCACAGTAGTAGATGTAATATAATGTGTAATGTTACACAGACAGAAAGCTATAAATAAACAGACAGACATAGATAGATAGATAGATAGATAGATAGATAGATAGATAGATAGATAGATAGATAGATAGATAGATAGATAGATAGATAGATAGATAGATAGATAGATAGATAGATAGATAGTTAGTTTTAGTTGTTTGTTGCAAGCGATTGGCACTTTGAGGTCGCAATGTAACATGTTGTGCAAAGAACTCACAAGTCAGTGTTGATTGCATTTGTTGGAAACTATTTGCCAAATTTGTTGGACTGGAAACCACACCGATAACTGAAAAACAGGAGGAGGCCACTGACTATGTCAGCGAAAAGCAGATGCTCAGCCATAAATGATGAGTCACTGTAGACTCCACCTCTGGGATTCAACAAAGATAAAACTTCATGGCTTTAAACATACATACAGCAACTCACAGAACTGACAGGCAGAGGGTCGGTAGAACGGTTCTCTACTTCAGTACTTCAGTTCTTCAATAATGGATCTCAAGAGCATCTGGTCATCGTGCCTCATACGTAGATCAAAGCATGCGGACGTAATCCTGCAGCTGTTCCTCTAAAGCTTCCCTCAACTGGGTGTGTAGAACTTAATCTGAATCAGGCCCTGAGTGTGTTTTTCTGTTCCCATGTTTCTATTTTAGTACAGCTTTGTCATACAAGCAGAAAGTTAAATGTGACACACACAAATACATAAATATATACACAATTGTCCATATGTCTGGAAGCTAATGTCCACATGCTGACACTGACAAATGATAGGAGTGATATTTAAAAAATAAAATGAAGCAATGAGTTATACATTTTAGCATTCAAACATAAAAATGGAAATAAATAAATACATCACTTTTTAAATGGAAAAATGTAATCGACATATTTTATTTTAGAGAGGGGGTTGCTCTTAAAATTGAGTTGAAAGATGATTGGTCGCCCGACTCGCCCCCACGGGTGAACTGTCTAGGACACTTGACTGACTATTGGATAAAGAAAAGCAGTTGACAAAATGACAAAGAAAAGCAAATGGCAAATTAATCAAGAAAAGCAACTGGCATTTTTTATTTTAGAATATGAGTTAAATTTTAAACATATTTAAAACTTAATTCATATTTTAAAAAAACAAAACAATTAAATGAAATCCAATTTTAAACAAACAAATAAATAAAAATTATAAATAATTAATAGACATTATAAAATTTAAATAAAAAAAAAATCTAAACATAAAAATGTAAATAAATAAATCACTTTTTAAATGGACAGATTAATACACATATATAATAATAATAATAATAATAATACATTTATTTTATATAGCGCCTTTCAGAAAACTCAAGGTCGCTTTACAATAAAGTACAAACAGCCTATACAAATATATGTATATTAATCTGTCCATATAAAAAGTGATTTAGGCCTACTTATTTTTTATGTTTAAATTATTAAATTGAAAACTTAATCCTTCACTTTATTTTATTTTCGTTTTCATACTGACATAATTGAATTTTTTTTTCATAAGTATTTCCAAGGCCAATTCTAAGTCAAGCCTTAAGTATTTTTCTGTCTCAAGTTGGAGTGAAATCTTAAATCTCTGTTCATAGTTGTGTATATGCAGCAGGTTAGTTTCATATAACTATATTATTTCGAGAGGTTGTTACTTGAGCAATAATTGCATAAAAGGCGTTATTTGAGGTTTTACTTGAATACGAAGGTCATTTGATCTTAACTGAACTTTTAAGATACTTATCCATGCAAACTCTGAGACTTTGATTTGTTCACAAGGCTCTAATTTGAAGTCAGATCAATTTAGTCAATGTTGTGATTTAAGAGATTGTGATTGCATTTCTGCATCTAATAAATGCGATGACCCCTGACCCTTAAACCTGACCCAACCCAACCCTCACAAATTGATATTAACATGTTTCACTATATATGTGAGGTCCTAAAACATGATTTATAAACTTTTCAAAAACAGCAAACAACTGAGAAAAAAAAAGAAAAAAAAGACAAAAACCATGTTGTCATCCCAAGTACAAGCAGTGACATTTACCACCGCCAGAGGGCGCGAGAAGCTCGTTTTTGTTGCTCCCGAACCGACTGAACACGGCGGGGTTCCCGTACACAGATCCCAAACACTAAACAGGTGGTCATACACCGCCACACAGCGCCCGGCCGCCGCGATGAAACGGAACGGGTACCGATTGTAACTTACAGTAAGCCGTCAAGGTGCTGAACCAAAGATTATTAATGATCTGGGCATCAGAGCACTGGAGCCTTTGATCCCGAGTTTCCCTTGGAATCGGGAAGGTCTAAGGAGAGTTGGAACTATGAAAGTGACGGTGTGTTTTGGAAGAACTCGGGTCGTGGTTCCTTGCGGAGATGGCAACATTAAAGTGCACTGGCTCGTTCAGCAGGCCGTGATGCGGTACAGGAGAGCGATCGCTAAGGTGAGCTGCTGTTTCAGTGTATCATCTGATTGTGCTTTGGAAACATAGTTGCGCCGGTGAGGGCTGCAAATATGGCGGTGTAGAGACGGAGTAAGTGAGCGGGGGAAGGGATTGGGACAGTCCGGACACTTCAACTCCACTGAACAGGGGGAAAGAACGCATTTATTCACAAGTTAATAAAGCTTTGTGCGTTTTTACCCTCTTTTAATGCGTTGGGCCGTCTTCTTTGTTCTTAATGTCTACAGCAGATTGCTAGAAACCAGTAAGAAATCGGGCAAATATGAAGTAGCCTAATATAAGAGAGAGCGAAGTTTACTCCACGTTTCAGATGTTATTACCCTACTTTGGGACCCTTTAGAAATGACATTATTTACCAGGGTGCAATATCATGTACATCGACTTTTTGTTTACATGTGGCGGGTTGCTGCAGCTGACGCGTCCTTATGCTATTTCTAATGAAAAAAAATAGTCTTGAACTTTTCTCATATGTGTGTGAGTCCTGCGCTTTGTTTCAATGAGAGCTACTGCTGCAGCTAGGCTAACAGTGATCACTGTGATATGACTTCTACACGGTTGGCACCGTCTAAACCGGGTTACAACATTTTTACACTTAAAGAGAGCGACGCGACAAAACCGCAACCCTGTCGTTGAGGAATCAACAAAGCTGTCTGTGTAGCGCGAGACAGAGCTCACTGTACGCGCGCCTAGTTCTGGACGTTCAGCTTCGTTGATTAAACTGCAAAAAAAAAACAAGTAGTTTGCTTTCTCTCTCTCTCTCTCTCTCTCTCTCTCTCTCTCTCTCTCTCTCTCTCTCTCTCTCTCTCTCTCTCTCTCTCTCTCTCTCTCTCTCTCTCTCTCTCTATATATATATATATATATATATATATATATATATATATATATATATATATATAGGCCTATATATATATATATATATTGCAAATTTAAAGTTTTTACATGCACAAAATGAACAGGGCTTAAAAATATCAAGACTCTAGACATGTCTAGACTAATTGGAAATGTTGTTTTATTCTACATAAGGGGTCGACCCCTCATGGGCGCTACCATGCTGAGATGGCGTGATTTTATTTATTTTTTTCCTTATAAACCAGTTAACGGTAGGGTAGGCAATTTATTTTATAAACACTTTTTGTTATACTGGTTGAAACTCTCTTCACATCCTGATAGCAATCAATAATAGAAGTGATCTAAATATTAAAACACGTACATTATATCTTCTGGACCAAAAAATATTCATCCAATCATTGCATTCGGTCACACATCATCAGTGCGTTCCGTAAGGCTATGCAGAGTTCTACCTGGAGCTGTTCACGTCCTCAGACTCGGATTTATGCGTTTTCTGTGTCAACAACAGTCAACTCAACACCATATCGTAATTGATTTTCGTTTTTGCCTACCAACGAATATGAAAACAAGATTATCAACGTGAAACGATTATTGTGCCGCTGCTGCATTCCGTCCCGCGCACCTTCCTTTCCTTCTCAGCGGTGCACTTCCGTTCCTCCATAAAAGCCCAAACTTGACATCCAAATCAGCCAAATAAGTGAGTGTTGTAAAATGCAGTCTATTGTTGCTAAACTGCGGGACGTGCTTGATATTAAACAGTGTTATTTAAAGCGTTTTAAGCCACGAAAAGGATACTGTTCCTTAGGCGGCCTCCTGTGCGCGCGCTCCGAGATGGGGTGGAACGCGCATAAGCGAAGTATACTATGAGCTTCAGATACACGCCTAAATGGTCAAATACACACAAAATTATATCAAAATGCCGTCTTGACAAGTATTGTTAAACACTGTCAGTTTTGGAATGTTAAATAGGCCTAGTTGAGAAAGATAACAATGTTGTGTAACAGTATATTGGATCCGTGCATAAACTCTTAAAGTGACAGCGTCTAATATTCCTGCTGCTGTCATGTTAATAAAAGAAGAAATGACAAAGAAAATCACTCTCTGCTCTTGACTGAATTCATTTTATAACTTTAATTCTAAGCATTGATTTGTATTTAATCTGAATTTAACTTCGTTGCGATTGAATCCAAGAATGTCTATTCAGTAGATGTGTGTCCGAGATGAACATAGACGTTAACAGCTTGGACTTGTGTTTTGACCACCATTTGGACTAGTTGATCTCCCAGAA